TTTCCGCCGCGTTTGATGGCTTAAAACGCTGATGTGTGTTTGGGACGTTTCTTAACACCCACCCTCTAAATATTGTGACTTTCATTTTGGGTTCACTTAAAAAAGCCTTGATATTCTTCTGGTTGGACTGACCTTCTAGTTGGAATGAGCCGTCCTCTCACCAAGTTCCGTGCCTCCCCATGTGGCGTATCAAAAGCGCCAAACAAAACTTCCAGGACAAAATTTAGTTCCTTGTCATTTAATGTGCTCCCTGAGCGCCGCGTATGGTTTGCATCCCTGATCTTTGTTTATCCTTCGACGTTCAGTTTACACAGTACACTTCACCCGTATAAAGCTATTTTCCCACGTCCACAATATGGTATTGAATGCCGCAGATCTACCACTGGAATATGAGGACGCAGCGTCTACCTATATGGTGGCAGTTGAACTGGTGCCCCACTCCTTTCTTTTTTTCTCCTGTTTTGTTTGCCTAGAATTAGATGCGCCAAGAGCAGTTTCAATTTTTCAAATAAACATGATTACTTATAGCGATGATTGGCGGCGAGGAAGGGAGGGTGAACGATACCGTGGCGTAAAGTAAAACAGCAAAACATCAATCAACATTTATCCTGTCGACCGTCCCCATTCGGCTATATTAAAGCCCCCCTGCATGAGTCCACAAGAAATTCTGCCTGACCATTTAAAGAAGGATGATGTAGAGCAGCACGAATGTGTTGCGAATAAATAAACCTGTCCATTCAGATGTAAATTGGCGTGCGCCAGTACCAAAATAAACAATGCCTCACATGAGAGTCACCCAGTAGTCTTACGCTTATGGTGACCTTAGGGGTACCAATGGTTCTCTTTTTACAAGCAACTGAAGGGTCAGGTTCGCTTGTAGCTAGATTTGACTGAGACTGTTGTACCCAGGAACAGGTATATCCAGCAGAAGTACTGACCATGTCAGCACTTTTTGATGGTCTGTTCGTGCTCACAGCAGCCTCTGTGTTTAAAGGCGATGAAGTGGTCAGACCACTCCCTTTTTGTTTTCTGCGTTGGCATGCGGTTTTGTCCTGTGCAATAGCAATATTTTTAGAGCTGCTGTGTAAACTTATGTGGTCTTGTAGTTTATTAAATCTTTTGGCGTCAAATGAAGTAGTGAACTTGAAGATCATGGGGCAGCTAGACTGCGATGACTTTTTGCGGAGGCGCTTACACTCACAGTGTATTCCTGTCATACAGCATGAGTTTAATACCTTTGTCTTAACTACATCCAGGGGTGGGGTATCAGGTATGTTATAAACGATGGCCTGTTGGGACGACGATAGTCTCTTCATTACCTCCGTCGCCAAGTGGTCTATTAAGTTTTCTGCTTCCACTACATGGTCTTCAACTAAATTCTCATGCTTCCCTAGAGGATATGCTGATGGATGGAAATCCTCACCTGTTCTCTGAATCTCTCCCGTCATGGTCTTAATGTTGTCGATTTCTTTCCTGTGGCCGTTAGTACTGCTACTCATGATTGATATGTCTTCGGTTCTGACAAAAGGCATGGGGCATGCCAGATCATCGAGATCTGAGTTACACGGAGTAACAATGCTTCTGTCACACGGAAGAGCACCGGAATAACCAAATCTTCGCTTTTCTCACTAGAGCAGTTGATTTTAGAACGTTTAGCCTTAGATCTTCCCATTTAAAAAGACGTTTAAATCGAAGCTTATTGTTAAAATAGAAAAAAGGCGAACGGCTATACGTAGTATACCGAAACGCTGGTAACACAGTATGTGAGTAGAGTAGCGGAGCTGTAAGCCAAATATATGGAATGGACTGAAACATTGCTTCAAAAATATAGTAATAAGTATTCAGACACAACAGGAAATCTGAAAATTGATATAATCAAGAACAGCGTGAAAAAGAAGCGTGTAGGTTCGACTTTACCGCGTGCCACGGACTTTACAGGGGAATTGACGATTCTCAGTGCACAATAATGTTACAAAACCACTGGTGCTCAATGAAAGTTGGAAACATACGGGATCACAGCCAATGTAACGTATCATGATATATACTTCCCAAAAACAAAAAAATAACCACCTGTGCCCGAAAGGTAGTTTGCTGACAATATAAACCTCTTACAACAAAATATCCCATTATTTGGAGTATATTATATGCACTTCAGCCAATTCCACATAGCAGACTGCCTGAGCACGATTGGATATGAGAAACCCGCTTCACTTATGTGGCTCAAGGTCGCTATTTTCTAAGCATTTTTAACTTGGCATTCCCACACCATTTTTAAAGTATGGCTAGTAGTTTAATTTCTGCCCGCATTGTGATGTAATTCGCTGATTGGTTAACGTTTACTCTTATCATGAGAATTTCTCCAATTGCGGACAAGGTCATACTTTATGTGTATACATATTCACACGTTTTGGATTGATCGATTATTATACTCTCGGAGTAATAAACTCTCCCGTCTGCCAGCTTCGGTCTTCTCTCTATTCACCCCGGGGTTGCAGTCCATGGCTCTTGCGTACTAAGCTGGCTATCAGCTAAGCGTGCACATTCTATTATTCGGAATATATATAATATACGCCGTTGGCGTACGAAGATATAACAATGATAAAGTGATTCGTACCTCTTTAAAACAGGTCGCTATTTTCAAGCGACCTTGAGCCACATAAGTGAAGCGGGTTTCTCATATCCAATCGTGCTCAGGCAGTCTGCTATGTGGAATTGGCTGAAGTGCATATAATATACTCCAAATAATGGGATATTTTGTTGTAAGAGGTTTATATTGTCAGCAAACTACCTTTCGGGCACAGGTGGTTAATTTTTTGTTTTTGGGAAGTATATATCATGATACGTTACATTGGCTGTGATCCCGTATGTTTCCAACTTTCATTGAGCACCAGTGGGTTTTGTAACATTATTGTGCACTGAGAATCGTCAATTCCCCTGTAAAGTCCGTGGCACGCGGTAAAGTCGAACCTACACGCTTCTTTTTCACGCTGTTCTTGATTATATCAATTTTCAGATTTCCTGTTGTGTCTGAATACTTATTACTATATTTTTGAAGCAATGTTTCAGTCCATTCCATATATTTGGCTTACAGCTCCGCTACTCTACTCACATACTGTGTTACCAGCGTTTCGGTATACTACGTATAGCCGTTCGCCTTTTTTCTATTTTAACAATAAGCTTCGATTTAAACGTCTTTTTAAATGGGAAGATCTAAGGCTAAACGTTCTAAAATCAACTGCTCTAGTGAGAAAAAGCGAAGATTTGGTTATTCCGGTGCTCTTCCGTGTGACAGAAGCATTGTTACTCCGTGTAACTCAGATCTCGATGATCTGGCATGCCCCATGCCTTTTGTCAGAACCGAAGACATATCAATCATGAGTAGCAGTACTAACGGCCACAGGAAAGAAATCGACAACATTAAGACCATGACGGGAGAGATTCAGAGAACAGGTGAGGATTTCCATCCATCAGCATATCCTCTAGGGAAGCATGAGAATTTAGTTGAAGACCATGTAGTGGAAGCAGAAAACTTAATAGACCACTTGGCGACGGAGGTAATGAAGAGACTATCGTCGTCCCAACAGGCCATCGTTTATAACATACCTGATACCCCACCCCTGGATGTAGTTAAGACAAAGGTATTAAACTCATGCTGTATGACAGGAATACACTGTGAGTGTAAGCGCCTCCGCAAAAAGTCATCGCAGTCTAGCTGCCCCATGATCTTCAAGTTCACTACTTCATTTGACGCCAAAAGATTTAATAAACTACAAGACCACATAAGTTTACACAGCAGCTCTAAAAATATTGCTATTGCACAGGACAAAACCGCATGCCAACGCAGAAAACAAAAAGGGAGTGGTCTGACCACTTCATCGCCTTTAAACACAGAGGCTGCTGTGAGCACGAACAGACCATCAAAAAGTGCTGACATGGTCAGTACTTCTGCTGGATATACCTGTTCCTGGGTACAACAGTCTCAGTCAAATCTAGCTACAAGCGAACCTGACCCTTCAGTTGCTTGTAAAAAGAGAACCATTGGTACCCCTAAGGTCACCATAAACAGGTGACCGCTGAGTGACAGAAAAGTCAGAAGTTTGAGCGAAACCTCACCATCTAAAGCTAAAAAGTTTTTGAAGACGGGCCATTCCAGGCGTGTGATTTCTTATGATGTAGAAGAAGACTTCATAGCTAAGACACTAGCGATACACGAACGCAATAGGCGAGTTTTACGTCCAACCCTTTCTTTCAGAAATGAGTGTCACGACAACTCGAGGTTGCATCACACGAGACACTCCCTCGGACCACTTCCTTTTGATCAAAGAATCACGCACTCAATTTTCTACAGAAATATAGAGCTGTGTCTAGATAATGTTGCTCCCGTGAAAACAGTTAGGGTTTACAAGGAGCCAGACCCATATATTCCTAAAATATTCCGCAATAAACTTAAGAAATTATCATCACATTACTACTCGTCGAAAGACTTCATGTCACTGCACTTTATTCATGAGACTTACGAATCTATCAAGACACTACATGCGAAACACGCATTAAATGAAGAGATCGTCGCTCTCAAAAGTGGCTCTAGAATACACAAGTTGACATCCCTTCTGAGTAAACGTCTGAAGCCATCAACGGATGTTGCCTATCTGTTTAGTGATACAATCACACACACGGAACGCTGTTTACGACGAATTGTAAGATGCAGTTTGTGGAAGCGTTGTTCAGTGATTTAGGTACTCGAATTTCAAGAACTAGGATGAAAGATACATTGTAGATTCTACGCCCAGCCGCTAACAAGGAACTGTGTAATACTGTTACACACAAATATTCAACAGTCTTCATCAGTCCTATCCTGTGTTGATAATGTTATAATCAAGATTAGAAAAACAAAATTTATTCAAGTGGTTTCTTTTTTAACTTCATTAACTTTACTACAAAAAAATTATGTTATCCTATCCAGCAGGATCAAACAAATAACAAAGCGAAGATTGTTCATTCTTTCAACCATTCCTTTCTGTAGATATCATCTTTGAATTCAAACAAAATCACTACGCTGATCCTGCAACTGCGGAGAATGATACTCTGTTTTCTGTTTATCGCCTTTTTTACGATGTCTAACCTCCTTATCAGTTGAACGACATGCATCAGGATGTGTTGTCAGTGTTCCAGTTTGTTGGTTTTCCACCACTATTCTGTCTGAAATATTATCTTTTAAAGATGACTTCTTGTTATCTGGATGTCTTGTTTCAGCTGAACTTTTTGGAGTAGTATAATTATTACCATCTTTTATTTCTTCTAGTGTTGTTTTTATAGTTCGACTTGTTGACTGAAGTGGTAGTTGTGACGAATTTATATGCTGTGATGCTGTACTACTACTAATTAGCGTTTGATCAGTAGTGTAGTCTACCACTTCTTCACACACTATAGTACTAGTACATGGAGTAACCGTTGGTGGATTGGTTGAATCACCTACAATGATATGAAAAACACTACTTTTATGAGGAGTGTCACATGCTTAGTAGTATACTGTCGAAAAAACTGAAATTTTGATTACTTCACTAAATGTATTCTATTCTATTCTATTCATTACCACATGGTAGAATAACCAGAGATCACAAACCATAGAAATTGCTCTGAAATGTATCAGTCCAAGTTTTCACACTTTACAGCAACGTGGAACGAAGAAATGGATCGAAACAGAATAACATCAAAGTAGACTGAAGTGTTAAAATAGAAGGGAATAATTGAATGCTCAAAATTTTGAAGGTGATACATAGTGTGAAAATCTTCAGTATTGTTACCGATTTTCAACCATTTCATCAAGCATTCCAAACTAATATTTACTCTAACTAGAATATTTAGAATAAAACTTTCAACTTTGGTGTTTCTGAAGAAAAAGTTCAACAAATTTACAACAACAGTTAAAGAAAGAAAGAGAAAAGTAGCAAATGCCAATTAGCGCAGAAAAAAAATGAACGAATCAGTTTAACTGAAATAATAATCAGAAAAGAACCTCGCTACTTTATCACATCCAATGTCCTAGTGACAAAAACACAATCATCCATCTCAACAAATCTAAAAGACTTAAAGCAACCAGCCACAACATAGGTCATGAGTAGAGAAGTCGAGAAAAGACTAGTGTTAATTCTGAATCCTGATGATTACCTGTTTATCGAATGTATGTTAGTAGGCAGATGAAACGGATCCACTATTCTAACTAGTTGACAGGGTTTGAAGCTCTGTTTGAGTGGCTGTTGATTTATCCAAATACAAGTCATATTTAATGTCAACTTTCACTCTGGCGTCAATATTTGTGAGACGTTCCGGTCAAATCCTGACCCAGATGGAGATAAACTGATCTATACCGAAAAAATGAACCGCTACTGAGCTACGAGGCCCAACTGCTGACCAGATTTTTAGTTCAATTCAGTCACCAAGTGTAGTCGGAAAAAGCCCATTGCGATTGAAATGAAATAAAAACCTGGTCAGCAGTCAGGCCTGGTACATCAGTCGATAGAGCATCCGGCCGGAAACCCGGTGGTCATTTGTTCCAATCCCTCCGCGCTCCAAATTCTCATTTCACCTTCAATTACTACCCAGTATAAATCCTAGTCTGCCAAATGACGGCTATGTCACATACTCAACATGATAATCAATATAAATTGATCATAACCTTCTCAATTGCAGATGTCAACGCGACTGGATATTGATAAAATTCCAATACCTAGTAATCATTTGACCATTTCCAAATCATCTCTTTGTCTGCGTGTTGTACCACCCACTTCATGTGCTTTGTATTCTCATCCAATACTGTATTTTCCATCTGCCTGACTTCTCATAGATCCATCGATGTCACTTTTACGTGGAGACTACTGTACTCAGCATAATGCGTGAACAAGATTCAGATACTCAACACTAATGTCAGTCAAGTCAGTCAGTGCTTCCATGTCATGGTTGAGAGATTTCCAGGCGCCTGACGAAAACCATTTCCAACAAACTACAAACACACATGATCAACAGCTGCCACCTACACTCGCTCGCTCACTCACTCGATACTGACACTGAAGATCAGATGGATGGCGACAATAATAAGAATAAGCAACAGGAAACTCACTCTGGCCTCCCAACGAACCAACCGACCAACAACGTATTGCCCAACAAATATGGTGAAGAAGAAAGTGGAGATGGATTGGGCATACACTGAGGAGACTGTTTGGGGACACCACGTGTGAGGCCAGGCCGTTGAGTGGAACCCACATGGGAAACGACGAGTTGGGTATCCGAGGCCGAGTGTGATATGGAGGAGATGGTGTGAGGAAGGAATGGAAGCTGATGAGCAGTGATGTAACCAGGTTGGAAAGACTGCAGAGAATAGAGTGAAATGTTGACGTGCTACAGAAGCTTTCTGTTCCACTAGGAACCTAGGACGCAAATGATAATATATACTACTTATCTGTATCCTTATGCGTTGCTCTTACTACATTAATATTTTGACTAACAACACTCGTGATTTAATATTTCTTCAGATTATCAAGTGGCCTTGAAGTTGACTCGTTTATATTCGTTAATATATTCCAATGATATTATCGTTTATAAACTAATCCCAAACACTAAAGTATTGGACACACTGGTCCATTGGTGGTTAATAACATCTCACTGATCTGTTATTAGATTTTTTCATTAGGGAAGTGACTAGAACTGCCTAAAACTGAAATCAACATTTAAAGTCTGTATTCATCACGGACTGACATCAGTTGGAGAGTGATTGAGGACCCGGGAACACTGGATAGCTGTTTCATCTCAGTATGGGACTCCTCCTACTGAGGAGCCCCATTTTGTCTGCCAAAGGTCGTCCTTTAAGTTACAGATCAGTCTTTGTGTCCTAACCTTTTAACAGTTCAGTGAAGTATCAGGAACTAAGGAGTATTGCATAATTTGCCAATCAGTTACATCCATAGTTCCCAAGGTCACTGCAGGAGGAATGAAGTTAGTTGTCACTTGAGTGAAGAAAGAGGTGATAACTGATTTGTTTGACTACTGTAAGATTCATACTTTATGTTAAGAAAAGATAGAAAAATAAACATTCGCAGTATTCACAAGGTATTTCACCTTGTTTAGCTATTGAGATTAGTGAAAACAAACTTGTGAATTTCAACATTTTCAATGAATCACAAGCAGGTAAAAAAGCGCTTCCGATAAACTGAAGAGACAAACCTTACCACTTATTGATATACAAACTTCACTTCACGAGTCTGTCGTAACCGTAAATGTGTGTATTTGTATGTGGTAGGATCAGGTATAAATATACATAAGTATGTTCCAGGTTAACTGTAAACTGTTCTGATAGTCCATCTGATTACCTCAGATTATGATCTGATACTATTGACTCATTGTAATTAGTTAGATAACAAAAGATGCGAAAAAAATAAGTTATAAAATGTGACCTTCATCAAATAACGAATAATCAGTCAAGGTTAATACGAAGGTTTTGACAGACAACCAGTAACTTTCCATCATGAATGCAAGTCGATACATTTTTGCCGCTATAGTTACCTTGACGATCGCCATAAAGACAGTTTCACTGAACAAACCATTGACTCTGGCACAGTCAAAGAGTTTAAAGTGCTGAAGTTAGTAAAATGTGTAACTCAAGAATATTTTATGGTTGACTTTATCATAAAATCTTGAATTATTATTCAATCAGAAAAATCAACGAATTCAACATGCTTCCATAATCTAAACTTACTTTAACAATGAAATAAAAACGCTTTTTAAACATTCCAGTTTTAAAATAACAAAAGTAAATAAATAAAAAAAATATGCTACAATGTGTTCCCAACTAAAAACAAATGAAAGACTCATGGTCATAGTTCAAGCCCTTAAAAAGTTGGGAAAAAACAACAAAATCGCTGTTTTTAATCTGAAACGGCGACTGTTAGACCCGCAGGCAAATAGTGACACGCCAACCACAAAAGTGTAGAACACAATTAACAAGGCTTATAGGTAAAGCGTTACTCTAAATAAGCGATATACCTAGAATAATAACGATAAATGCTAACTTCAAATATGCTGCTTCCATGGGGAAAAACGCCAAATCAATTACAAAAAAGGCAACAGGATTCAAGCAAATGATCTACAAATAATGTACAGTTGAAAGCAGCAGCTCGCCCCTCAAACGAGGCTAGTTAAATGACTAAGACTAGTCCATAGACAAAATTAACCAAAAAAATAAAAACAGCCAATACGAATGAAGGTCACAAGTATAAAAAGGATAGAAATAAATGAGATTCTTAACCAATACAGAGAGCGTTAATCGAACAGAAAGAGTGGGTGGACGATGGGATCGCATTACAAGCATGATTTGTTGTGACGCGAAGATGAAAAGGCACAGCATATGTAACACGTATTAACAAGAACGGATGAAAACAAGATGGTGATTAGGAAGAGAACAGATTATCCAAAGATCTGTACTTACTAACTTGGAGCCCACTACTGAGGAGTATCAAGCAATGGTGAAACAGCTATCCAGAGCTCCCAAGTTCTCGAATTAGTGTTAATCCCTTAAGGGAGCTACATTAAAATAAATCGATCAACCCCTGTAAATAACTGAAGAACTAAACTTCAATGCTCATCGAAGACAAAATTTATACTTCCCAGAGTGAACACGTTCACGATCAACCAGTAGTCCTCGATCCAGTAGTCTACATTTAGTAGAATTCAGTAAGTTCAAGATATAATATGACTAACATCCATTATCAATAACGGTCATCTATCCTCATTTCTAGCCTACCTTAATAAAAAGGATATAAATTTTCAATAGAATTCTCTCTAGGTGAAATTTAATGGAGTTAATCAAAGATACGGTGCTAATTGTGAACTTTACATTCAACAAACAGTTAAGGGGAGCACATATACTCCTGATGAGTACAGAACGAAATAATGCTTAGAGTTTTAGAGTAGTTGCTTACTTCAAATCATCTTCTGTTATGAATTAACATTAGAAAAGAAACATCGTTTTTCTGCAACACTATTTAAAAAGTAGAAAATAGGATATGTGAAATCAGTAGTTCAGCTTTGACGTGCTGATCACTTAACTTTGAAGTCAGTTCCTGGAAAAGTAATTATTCACAAATAACTAGTACTGAATAAGAATGAAACAACTGTCTTTTTGGTTTCTACTTGTTCGTTAACTGACATTAATCCACGGTGGAAACAGTTATTGTTCCTACTGAAAGACTAAATCAATGATACTAATCAGCGGTGTCTTCCATTGAGAAACAAAGCGTTACCTACAAAAGGAACACTCATAGAAGAAAATATGTCGATAAAGTAGCGTGACAATGGAAATTATACTGAAGGCAGAAAACTTGTCCTCCTAAATATCTCAATGGTCAATTTTTCTTAAAGAACTTACTTTATCCGACATGAAATTTTCCTGATCTATGATGGAAATCGCTTGAGTTGACTTTGTTCCATTTACAGGAAGAGATGCTTCCTTTTTGCCCATAGTAGTAACTTCTTCGTTATCAAAGGCTGGATTATCGACTGGACCACCATCGACGAGGCCAACAGCAAACTTACTGCTATCAATACTATTACTAGGCTTCAAAGATTTGATTGAATCACTTCTAGCAATTTTGGAAGGAGTTGTTGCTTTTTTCTGAATGGAGTGTATTAAACCACCTAGTAATGGTTTTGATGATTTCACTTTAGCTTCTTCAGTATTGTCACTTGTTCGTTTAATCGACTCTCTGAACTTTTTACCACGTACCATCTCTTGTATTTCAGATATTTGATATGTGTCACGACCACGTCGAAGTTTAGAAACTAGAAATTAAAAAAAGATAGTGAGATATTAAGTGCTACTGAATAATTTTAAGACTGATAATAATATATATATACTCAGTAATGACATATATCGAAGATGAATATCCCAAAGTTGTAATGAGAAGTCGTGACCTGTAGGGTCAACATATAGGAAGTGAAGCGGATGCCAACTGAAGATTCTGGATAATAGTCGCGCTATATCGCGAATCGACAGAAGCGAGTAACTGTAGATCATTGAGCTCTGACCTAGTTGCTGAATGGTTAATTCGTTCGCTGTGAAACCTGAAGGTCGTAATTTCGATCCTTGGCAGGTGGGGTCGTGGATGGGTACTTCTAAGGAGTCTCATACTAGGATGAAACAGCTGCACAGAGCCCCTGTGTTATTAATGCTTCTCTAACTGATATCATTCTGATCAGTAATACCCTAAAAATAAAATCCTCATTAAGTTCAAAATAACTGGTTACTGTTCTGTTAATTTATGCATTATACAGTTGCCTTTCTTCTAAGTTTTTGATTACTTTTGATATGGCTACAACAAAAGTTATACAAAATGTAGGCATCTCACATTTTAGGTCCCCCATAGCAAATGAATTCAGGATGAGGTCATTGACGATGTTTTGACTCTTTCATTCAATTATTTATTTATTTGTTTTATTATTATTATTTATTTATTTGTTTTTTCTGCCATTAGTTTCTCCTTAGTTCGTTGATTCTAAGTGTTACAACTTGAACTGATATTGTTTTATAACACATCTTAGCTAGTATAGTAATGTCTCCCTAACTGGTATTGACGACGAGCTTCAACGAAAAAAACTAGTAAGGCCTATTCTATGACATTCATGAAACTACACCTCTGATCTACTGAGTGACTTTTATGTCACGAAAGCCCACAAGCTCTCGTTTCCTCCTCGCACGATCTCCTCCATATCACACTCTGCTCGGACACCCAACTCGTCACTTCCCATCCGGGTTCCACTCGAGCAACTGACCTGATGCGTGATGTCCCCAGTCCGCCTTCTCAGTGTATGCACAATCCAATCCAATCCAATCCATCTCCACTTCCTTCCAGTGCATATTTGTTCAACGAGAGCTTCTTGCTTGGTTCGTTGGGAGGCCAGAGTGAGTTCCCTGTTGCTTATTCTTGTTATTCTGGCCATCTGATCTTCAGTAGCGAGTCAGTGTAGGCAGTTGTTGATGAGTGTCTGTAATTTGTTGGAAATCCCTTCGTAACGCGTCGCCAAGTCTCTGAACTATCACATAGGAGAACTGACTTGACTGATGTTGGTGTTGAAAATCCAGATCTTGTTCCACATGTTGAGTGCAATGCAGAAGATCTCCACACTGGTTTCAGGCTGATGAACGCCTGTCTTGCTTTTCCGATCCTGGCTGACTTTGACATCCTCGTCTGTGCCTGTGGCGCCTGTAGTTGAAACAATGCTTCCTAGATAGGTGTAGGTGAAGGAGGTTACTTCCTTTAAGTTTCTCCCGTTGATGGTGATTGGAGTTTGTTGTTGTTGGTGCGGTATCTTCATCACCTCTGTCTTCTCTACATTCACTTGATTGGTGTTCCGTCTTCGCTGCCCTGCCCTGCCCTGCCTCCTTTGTCAACTTGTTAGTTTTCGCCTGTAGATCTTCCAGTTTGTGCGACATCAGACACAAGTCGTCGTTGGCGAAATCCAGATCTTCTAGGTTGTTTTCCTTAGTCCAGCCAGTGTATCCCCCTCTTCTCGCTCCACACTGTTTGCTGCATGATCCAGTCGACCACAACACAATCATGAATATCATGGGTGATAGTAGGTGGCAAGCTTGTTTCACTCCTGTCTCCACTTCACTTCACTTCAAAAGCATCACTGATCTTCCCATTGTGAATTGCTTGACTGGTATGTGGCGTCTTCATATAGTTGTTGAATGAGGCTGATAAAGTTTTCCGATACTCCGTAGTATTGAAGCAGTTTCGAAATTACCTCTCGGTCGACGCTGTCAAAGGCCTTTTCAAAGTCGATAGAGTTGAGGTAGAGAGAGAGAGAGGGAGAGAGAGAGAGTTGACTGCCATTCTATACTCTGTTCTATGATGATGCGTGGTGTGGCGTTGCAATTTTGTCGGCACATGATTTGTACTTCCTGAAGCCAGCCAGCCAGCGAGCCTGTTCCGGTCGTAGTTTTGAATCTAGCGCATCCCTCAGCCTCTCCAGCATGATGCGACCTAATATTTTGCTTGCTGTGAGTGGACAGGAGAGTGATTCCGCACCAGTTCTTGCAAACACTGAGGTCTTCCTTCTTCGGGAGTTTGATAAGGTAACCCTTCTTCCAATCACTAGCCAGGTACCTCTCCTTCCTTCCACACCTTCTGCAATAGTGTTCACTTGTAGTTCTGTGGCTGGGCTGCAGGTGGTATTTCTGGACGAAGTGTAGGTGGTGGTGGTCGATTCAAGAGCTCCTTGAAGTGGTCGGCCCATTGTTTCCTTTGTTTCTCTTCTTTTGTAATTAAATTTCAGTCATCATCTTTTATTGGTTTCGTCTGCGTTGATCTCTTCCCTCCCAGATAGCAACCTGGTTATTTGATACAATGTTGTCAGGTCTCTCTCTCCTACCTGCAGCCTGTTCTGCTTCACTTGCCAGTGCTTCGTAGAAGTGTCTTCTGTCTTTCCGTGCACTCTTCTTCTTCACTTCTTTGTCCAGTGTTGTGTTTTATACATTGTACTCAGTTCTTCTTGTCGTTGAGCATCCTTGTACTGATTTATCTTCTGCTTCACCATCACCATCCTCCTCTCCCTGCTCTATCAGCTTCCATGTATCCGTCGAGATCCATTCCTTGTCTTCCACCTTCTTCCTTCCTAATACGGCTGTGCAGGTTTCTTTCCACACAGCTTTCAATGACTTCCAGTGTTCTTCCACACAGATTTCTTCAGGGATGTTGCTCAATATCTCCCATTTTGTCTTGATGGCTGGCTGCCGTGAAGATTTCCTTTGTAGTTTCGTGCTTCAGTTTGTGTTCCGAGTGTGGTACTTGAACTGCCGTCTATCACCAGCTTCCTTGAAGGCTTTTAACTTGATTTGGAAGGTGGGTTCCTTGCACTAGATAGTGGTGTGAGTGGTGTGAACCTACATCTGCTCCTCTTCTTGACCTTGTGTCAAGTAGACTGCGTCTCCATTTTCTTGAGATTGAGATGAAGTCGATTTGATTTTTAGTGCATCCATCTGGTGTCTTGTGAAATTGATGTCTCTCGCTTTGTGGATATCCTTGTGCTTGAACACACTGCCTTACTCCAATCACCAAATCGTTGGATGCACAGAATTCTGCAAACACTTCTCCATTCTTGTTCATCACCTCACCGAGCGCTTCTCTACCCATGGTTAGTTCTCTTCATGTGTTGTCCCCTCCCAGTTTGGCATCCATGTCGCCCCACCCATTAGAATTTTGATATCGCCATCTAGAGTGAAGTCTTGTCCAGTGTTGGTTGAAATTGTCTGTAGAATTCCTCCTTCTTCTCTTCATCTGCACTATTTGTGGGTGCGTAGCGTAGTATTGTATGATTGTGACTTTCCTTCCTTTTGCGTTGAACCTTGCTGTCATGATCCTGGAAGATATTGGTTCCCACTGCATGAGAGCCTTCGATGCTCTTGGAATGTGGACATCATGATAGCCACTCCATAATTCAGTGTGCTCGTGGTTGTCGTCTGTGTGACAGTGTCGGAGTAGATTATTGGTTCTGCAGTTGGCAGTTTGGAGAGTCCACTCCCATTCCATCTGGTTTCGCAAATTCTAAGTACTTCGATGTGATACCTCTTCATCTCGTTTGCAATCTGGTCTGCCTTGTTGGGTTCAAACATCATGCAGATATTCCATGTCCCCACGTTTACTTTTGCTTTCATGGAGAGAGAGAAGACACGTCGGCCAATTGGCTTCCCGAATTGAGGCTTTCACCAACTGGCGTCATTTTGCCTCTCCGATTCCAGTGAGGAATAATTTTGTTATAATTTTTATGTATCGTTTGTGCTTTGAAGTTTGTTTAGCGGTTAGATTTGCTTTCCGGGGTAGGGTTGCTAGGTTGTCCTATGCCCAACCTTCCCTCTTTATTGGGGCTTGGCGGGCTAGTAACTATTGGACTAGTTAACCAGGCGACGTTAAAATCAGTATATTTTAGTCTTATTGTATGCTTCATAGCATAGCCTCGTAGAAAACTTTTTTACGCTGCAATGTTTGTCTGAGTCATATTTGATTAGGCAAACAGCTAACTCATATAGCAGGAAAGGAGGGTATAACCTACTCTAGTGCCTAATCGTACCCACTTTGATTATCCATAGGTTTATATTTGGATTTTTTTACAGATTTCGCTAATGCTAGGATAGATGATTCATCGTTCAAATGAGTGTTGATATTTTAATATGGGTTAAAGTGGGAACAAAATATGTGCTTTTTAGCTTCACTATTTAATTCATCCAAGCTGCCTGCTAGTGTGTGGATAAAATTTACCGAGTGAATTTAAATCCCACCCAAACAATAAGTGAAATGACCAACTAAGCTTTGTATATAATGAATATCTGCCCTTCCAACCGAAATTTACGAAATCTGTCTGGCTATGTCAGTCGTCGCTAGAATGGCTTCTGAAATCATAAGACTTACCTCCTTCCTTTAATCACAACTCTAAGTTTTATGTCAAGGAACCCAGATTCAGTGATTACTTAAATTCATTGAGCATCAGTCGAAGATATTTACTCAATTTCTTACATTTTGTGCTCTAATACTAACTGCTGTTTTCAATACTACAATACTGACGTACCTTACTATTGAAGATCAAATGGAAACCCGGTTGCAGCAAAATTCATACCGTTGGACCGGCTCTATGTAGTGAGAAGTTGGTTCTGGTAACTAATTTGGTAGGGCTCTGAACCGGTAACCTGGATTGTCATGTTTATAATCTTAGCGTCACCCAACTATACACTTCACCCTCAATCTATTACCTCTTATAGGCAATACAGATATCACAGAAAATGATCTCAGTAATATTTCAGTTTTAAAGATTGTCTACTTTAAGTAGTATGATTAGTTTTGTAAAAATTTTCTCATTAAAAATATTTTGAAACCATTGAAACTAATGGATGATATTCAGTCTTGCATGCTTTTTACTCGTCACTTAGGTAAACTGATATTTGGCACCTATTCCTACATCGCTTTCATTGTACTTTTGAATATGTTAATTGCTATGATGAACAGCTCTTATGAACAAATTGTGGTAAGTTACTAAATATTTCGGTCACAATATATAAGAAATTTCCCGGAAAGAAGAATATGAATAATGCAAACTCTAGATTGATACTACAGCGACGATTTTGATTGATACCGATGGCAAATACTTGTAATTTATAGAATTCCCATTCAAATTAATTCATCTGATAAAGAGTTTTGACTGGTTATTAGTTAAGTATCGTCGTTGAAATAGGCAACAGTGTTTTGGGAAGAATTCAGTTGGTTACTTGAGCTGAATATGCTCAATGAAAATTTTCACTGTACAGTTCAGTAAATAAAACTCATAGATTAAGTGGACTATTCTGTGTATACTTTCATACTGAATAAGTTTATAGAAGGTGGAATTACATTCTGCCACAGTGTCCTAAGCCAGTTCTTATCCTGGTGTTCTACACGTGTTTTCTCTTGAGTAATGACAAAAGAGGTTATATAAAGTATCAAAGCTATAAGATCTTTGGATCCATATTGTAAAGATTAACGCTGAATGCTGATTGTATAGCCGAGACAATGAACGTTGTTTGAAGAATATGCTGTGCATTTAAGAGAGAAAAAGGTTAGATTCCTAAATTCACCTTGACCTGATATCTAGTTTCATTAATGGAGTCTTATATGTTTCTTAAACTGACGTATTTGAGAGAATTTTGTTCCTCGAAGGTTCAATTTCAATAGGTGTCATACATCAAAGTCGATAGTGAATCAGATATTATCACTGGTGTAAACATTATACAGAAATCAAACAGTGACGTGAATAACCTTTTACGGGCACGAACCCAGCTCCATCTGTCGAGGTCGAGCAAGGCCTCATACAACAGGTGTGGTTCGTCGCCTACTACACAAACCTTCACAAGGTTGTTGAGTATATTCCAATTGATACATAGATATCTGCAATGCTGATGAACAAAGGTTCAATAAACGATACTCCAAAACATAAGTGGACCTATATGGAAAGAGTAAATTTTACAACGGTAAACGGGCGACTTTAAAGGCCACCTAAGCAACAACTGAAATAACCTATTAGACTTCTATATTTCATGAAAATCTGCCTTTCTAACCGAAATGAAGAAATTTAAATGTTTATCGCGATAGTTGCTACGGTGGCTTTAAATTTGCCCCAGTAAACATGAAAAACATTTAGTATACTTTATTTTGGTAGGAAGAAGCAGAAATTCGAATTTTCAAAAAACTAGGAAGTGATAAATACACTTGTCTATACGATTATAAAGTTATTTTAATATGTCATTATTTTCAATATATATATATATATATATATATATATATATATATATATATATGTTTTGTTTTAACAGGGTCAAGTAGATGTAGAATGGAAATTTGCACGTTCAAAATTATGGATAAGTTTTTTTGGTGAAGGTTGTACTGTTCCCGTACCATTCAATATTATACCCACACCAAAAGCATTTATGTATATGCTGAATTCATTTAGAAAATTATTTGTCAATTGTTATAAAGAAAAATTACATCGTAATAATTGGGAAACAATTCGTGTAAGTTACCATTAATATAAACAAATGGATAGTTGGAATTTAAGTAGATGTTATTGCATAAAATAGTGTACAAGCTGAAGTTTCTATACTCTAAAATACTATACATAGAGAAGATGAAGGAAAGTAGAATGATATTACAATAATTTATTATTTATTGGTACTTGCAATTCCCCATTGTTATACTGGATCAAACTAATCCACCTCTAGGATGAAAAGCACATCCTGTATTCCCCTGCTAGCTACCAGGTTAGTTACAGAATGGTCAGTATCCAAGCAATATAACAGCCTCCTCAAAAGAGCCCATATATGAACAGAAGTTGAGCTATCCAATCTCGGTGTAGCAAAAAGAAATTACAAATACCAATAAATAATACCTATGGGGTAAGAGGGCCTCGGAAGCCTAGTGGATAACACCTTGGCGTTTGAAGCTGTAGATACTGAGTTCCAGTTTTGTTGGAGATACCATCATTCACAGGGTTGTGGGTACAGTTAGCTGATGAGTCACAAACAAGATAAAACGCGCCTTGCTTAAAGATCATATCATAACTGCCTTACCTAAGTGATTGCCTGTAATATACTTATTACAGGTAATGTGGAACTGACCAATGAACTAATAAATTCCGACTAATAGGTGTAGGGATGAGTTTTTATTCCTTATAACAGAAGCAGACTTGAGTGTTATTGCTTGTGCTCTATACATGTCGATCAAGAAGTGGCTATCGTGGCTCGGTGGTGTAGAGGACATCGCTATCGCATTTGATGCGATCGCTCCCGAGTCCAAATCCCGGTGGGAACAACATCACTCACTGGGAGGCAGGTACATCCAGCTGACTAGTCCCAAATGGGACGAAATGCGCATCCTGGATTCAACCGCTACCCATTACTATACATAATAGAACCAAATTTTGTTCGTTGGGTTCACTTATATAAACTAATCTGATACTAAGTGATATTCAGTCTGTTGAGATTACATTCGTTCTTGCCACTGCTTATTTCACATACTTCTTTATTCATGCATTTGTTTATGTTTTTATTTACACGTTAGCAACGCGTAAAACAAGTGAAGGAACGTGAAGCACGTTATCAAGTTGTCATGCGTGAATTGACAAAGCGTTATATTATGCAAAAGCTTAGATCTAGTGAAAATGATACTGTTAGTCCATATGATTTAAGTGAAATTAAAGGGGATATCAGTGCTTTCCGACATGAATTATTGGATATACTTAAATCGAATGGAATGAAAATACCAGACAGGTAAGTCGCCATTATGTGTACAATTAGATGTATATCAAATGAGATTTTAGTGTGATGAAGGGGATGGAAGGGGTGATGAATAACTGTAACTCGGATTTTCAGTGGTCTGATAAGTTTGGTGCTGCTTCAGATGCTATTCTTGCTGGATACCTATTTCGATGCCAGCTTAGGTGTAGAGGATGGACAGTGATCATTCATGTTGCATCTTGAGACTGGAATGTTTGGACTGTACCCTTTCACGTTCTGACATGTGTTTTTATCATTGGATATAATATGAAGTTAGAGATCTTAGCTTAGACAATCTCTTGGGACTCAACGTACGAAGGAATGGTGACAAATGTACTACTTTTACTTTTTTTCCGGTACTCAAATGCTCCTACAATTTATAGCCTTTGCCTGTCTTTTTATAAGCACTGTCTGTGAAGGTCAAATTACCCAATAGATAACAAAATGGGTACTTAAATAGGCGACAGTTTTCACCGTGTATCGATTTTACTGGAAATTCTTAACAGTTTTTATTTCTCTAAGCTAGATTGTAGAGCTTACAGTGCCTTTCTAATGGAAATCATTATCACTAACTTCAATATGAAGTTAGATATAAGAGATTTTCCTTGATTGTTTCAGTAACCTATTCTAATGAAGCAGTGTATGATTATTAGTTTCCTTTGATTGTTCTATTATTGATTGAGCAAATTTTCTGATTGACTATCTTTCTGCTTAACCTTCAAACTTGAAGTTATATACCATTTCTCTTTTTGGGTAATAAATCAGGTCTGTGTGCACTCGTTGGGTGCTGGTTTACTTGAGTGTCAAGCTTCTGGTAATGTTAGTTAGCTGAAGACAATCGGTAGGAAGACCTACTTGACCTAGGTTTCGTACTTGCTAGTACTCGTCAACAAGGCGCATCTGCAACTTCTAGGGAAGTGATCACTCCTCCGAGATTCGAACCCATGTTACTCAGTGTTACATCCAGTGAAATTTCTGTAGGAGGTCAGTCGCTGTCAGAATTCCTGCCGATCGCCTCCAACCAACTAACATCTATTCAAGTGCGTGGTTGTGGTAAGTCTCTTAGCATTGTGGCTACAATGAGAAATGACTGATAGATTTCGGTCATCAATCACTACTAGACAACATGGGATTGTTTGCCTACCAGTGACAAGTCGATGTAACTGTCTATTAATCTTTGTTACTTTTTCAAGATCTTCTATTTTCAGAATAGGTTTCACGTTTATGAATATCTATATGCTGGGCTACAAGGGATGATGTTGTGATGCTCAGGTAACAACAGATGTTGATATCGACGAAGATGAAGAGAGTGAACACTCTTTTCAATGTGATCATTATCGAAGTTCATCCTATAGATGATATTTGGTCTATCTTCACCAGCTGTGAATTCATTAGACGGATCTGCATGGTATAGCATGAGGAGAATTTGTGTGTTTATGACCAACATAATAGCTTCAGTAGCCTTGTCATGATCTTTGATAAGTTCTTAATATTAACTAGGATAGTCTTTATCGTGGTTGCCTGAATAACTTTGTGGTTAGTGATGAGATAGACATATATCTTCCGATAAAGTGGCTAGTGAGTAACAGTCTTTTTGGGGGGTGGAGGTAGTTGTTAAGTAATTTTATTCGTTCCTCTGTACGGTGGCTGCAATGTAGGGTGTTTTGCTGTATTGAGTAAAGTCTATACACAACTAATTTGGTGCTTTGTTGGGTTGTCAATACTGCTTGTTGGAGGCAATCAGCAGAAAGCTACTATAAATATAGACATTAACTTAATCCTATTGTAATTAACGAATCAAGACAAGATTCTTCTGAACAGGTTGCTATGTAATCCATAGCTTCTTCAAAAAATTACTGCCACTGTAGTTGAGAGTTTGATAAGTGTATGGTTGCTGTCTACAAACAGGTTCCTCTCATTTTCTTTTATCCATCCCAAGAATGGAAGTCTGTTATTCTGTTCCTCCTCTACTTTGAATTTGATGCCATCCAAACTCCTATTGATGAAGTTATGAGTTCATCCTAGTTCCACTGTTTTTAATGGTAAAAAAGATGTCGTTCACATAAAGTAGAACATAGCAATAGTCCACTTCATCAACGCCTTCAAATGAATACAGTGCATCAGGAATACAATAGAGACTCTTTGTTAACTGGTCCCTACTAAATTGTAGTTGGAATTCGTTACTCAACGTTTTAGGTGGTTCATTAATTATTATCATTATTATTTGTTCCTTGGGTTTCTAGTGGAACAGAAAGCTTCAGTAGCACATCACCATTTCACTGTCTTCTCTGCAGTCTTCTCAACTTGACTCCACGACTGTCCAGAAGCTTTCATTTCTCCCTCACACGACCTCCTCCATGTCACACTCGGCCTCGGACACCCAACTCGTCGTTTCCCATTTGGATTGCACTCGACAACCTGGTGGGGCCAGGTACGTGATGTCCCCAAACTGTCTTCTCAGCGTATGCCCAATCCACCTCCACTTTCTTCATGATATTTGTTAGGCGACAGGTTGTTGGTTGGTTCGTTGGCAGGCCAGAGTGAATTTCTTCTTGCTTATTCTTATTATTCTCGCCATCCTTCTGATCTTCAGTGTCAGTATCGAGTGAGTGAGTGTAGGCGGCAGCTGCTGATGCTTGTCTACAGTTTGCTGGAAATGCCTTTCGTGACGCACCTCCAAGTCTCTCAACCATGACATGGAAGCACTGACTGACTTGACTTACATTAGTGTTGGAAGTCTGGATCTTGTTCACGCTTTATGCTGAGTGGAGTGGAGTAGATCTCCACAGTGATTTCAGATTCATGAAGGAAGGATTGTCTTGCTGTGTTTTCGATTCTAGCTTTGACATTGTCGTCTGTGCCGCTGCCTGTGGCTGAAACAATGCTGCCTAGGTAGGTAGGTGAAAGAGACAAATTCATTAATTTTGTATCTTTTTTTAAACACAAATCTGAAGTTAGTCCTCAGTGAATCTTTGTATCTGCCAATGTACCAACCTCATCTCACTAGTCAAGATACCAATAGTTCTACCTTGTTTTAATGTCATTGTTAAATAGTGTAACGACCCTTAAGCGTTGCAGACACTCAGACTCACAGCACACACAGGCAGGCCGAAGAAGAATAGGGATTACGCAGTATCTTCTTTAGTAGGGATACAGCTTAAACTCAGCGGGTTTGCACAACACTCGATCTAGACAAAGTTTTTATACATCATCGTCAGTGTTGAGTTTACGTATTCGCTGTTCCACTTCTCCTAACTCGTTCGCTGTATCGTATCCTGAAAGAGAAAGAAAGCGAACATGATCAGTGTTATCAGTAGGGTTTCAAATACGTTACATTACTCCCCCCTCCTTTGGAGGCACTGTCCTTACTGCCTGGTTCTGGAATCGGTTATCCATATCCGCCCTCAAGTGGTACTTCGTAGTGATAGGTCGCTGGCGGTGGTCGACACGGGTCGGTTGACAGCTTTGGTGTGGAGGTTCCACAAAACATTTATACTCATCTAGTGATTTTAGCAGGTTCTATAACTTTCATCAATCCAACTTGACCAGGTAATTACATAAATAGTAAGTAAGTTTCATATGTGCCTTGACAGATTCTGAAATCCTATTAGTAACCATATAAATGGGTTTCTGGTTATGAATTCAGAAATCGCTTTTAGTTTTACCTCTGCTTTCTGGCCTATTAGAGGTTCGAAACTATTTAGTATCGGGTATTGAAAAGTCAATCAAGTAATTATCCACTCACTGATTTCAAGTTAGTATTCACCATAGACTGACATCAGTTGGAGAACCATTGAAAATCTTGGGGCATTGGAAAGCTGTTTCGTCTCAGTACGGAACTTCTCAGCAGTGTGTATCCGTGACTCCTCTCTTCAATGGATCGAACCCAGTACCTTTAAGTTTTGCGGTGAGTAAGTTACAATTCAGCCACCGAGTTGGAATCCAATGGTTAACATTTTCCCACTTTTGTCAGTTAGGCATATAGCACCGTCTTTGAGTGCGTGTCCGCATGTCTGACTTGGATTACTTCACCAGTCACAAATTATTGCCAGAACTTCACAAAATCTCAACCCTGAAGTAAATCACTAGTGAGCACTGGACGGTAACTCAATTTGAAGATTTGTAGGGATTTGTTGAATACTAACTTGAAGTCAATAGATCCCTACAAACCCCTTAACTGAATTAGTTATTTTTTTATGCTTACACTTTCAGGCTGATTATTATGTTGGATCGAACTGATCGGTCTGTTAATATAGGAGTTCCTGTTAGGATGCCTCACTATTGCCTGTAGATTAATTACAATGTCATTTGATTGACGTGTAGCACTGGAATCCTTGACTCAAATTTGAGGCTCGTCAGCTAGGTGTACCTGCACCTCAGTGAGTGGCGGTGTTCCTATTTGGACGACTCTAAAATAGCACAAAATTTGCACCCTGGATTCCACCGCTAGCCAGCAGTGATCAACTCAAGAGACTGAAGGATGTGCTAGATTCAAAACTACGACCGGAACAGGCTCGCTGGCTGGCTGGCTTCAGGAAGTACAAATCATGTGCCGACAAAATTGCAACGCCACACCACGCATCATCATAGAACAGAGTATAGAATGGCAGTCAACTCTCTCTCTCTCCCTCTCTCTCTCTCTACCTCAACTCTATCGACTTTGAAAAGGCCTTTGACAGCGTCGACCGAGAGGTAATTTCGAAACTGCTTCAATACTACGGAATATCGAAAACTTTATCAGCCTCATTCAACAACTATATGAAGACGCCACATACCAGTCAAGTAATTCACAATGGAAAGCTCACTGATGCTTTTGAAGTGAAGTGAAGTGGAGACAGGAGTGAAACAAGCTTGCCACCTACTATCACCCATGATATTCATGATTGTGTTGTGGTCGACTGGATCATGCAGCAAACAGTGTGGAGCGAGAAGAGGGGGATACGCTGGCTGGACTAAGGAAAACAACCTAGAAGATCTGGATTTCGCCAACGATGACTT